AGAAAACATCTAACTAATTTTGTTTGATCGCGCTATTTTTTTTTTTGCTTTTGTAAAGCTCTCTATTAAAATTGTAATCTTTTAAATAAAACATGCATATCATTAATTTAATCCCATACATTATAGATCTTGATGTCCCATGAGACCACATTCTAATGGTCCCATTTGTCCCCATACGCTGATATTTCATATTTTTCTAAACACAAGTCAAACATATTTATTCAAATTCAATTTAACCAATTATAAAATGGAGTATTTGTTTTAGCCTCTTGAATATATCAGGCGATATAAAATTGGAAATGTCTTCGAAGTAAAATAATTCGAATTTACTTTTTAAAGTTGAAAACAAACTTTCTCCACGCACTCTTTCAACCATCAGCAGATAGCAGACTTCTTGTTAAAGATAACAGCTTTGGTATTGCTATTTATATGTTGTATATTTTCTTAAAAATAATATTTTCATAAAAAGTAGACCATTATCCCATTAACCCCCACTTTCACTATAGTATTTTGCAGTGATGAAACATGTTGAAACAATTCAGTTTTTGTAGTGCTATGTCGTAAAAAATAAGTGATGCAAGATTTTGTAAGCATAGAGTAGGCAGGGTGTATAAAAATCATGATTTTTTTTAAAAAATCAAAAAAATCGAATTTTTTTGATTTTAATCCGATTTTTTTGATTTTAATCATGATTTTTTTATAATTTCAATTCTATGGAATATAATCAATTTTGTGTACCATAGATTTAAAGTTGTATTGTATTACTATTGTTACTTATAGTATACATTGGAAATAAACATTACTAACCATTATCAACAAAATATTTCTTAATTTAAAAGCAAAAGGTGAAAACAATAACAAAGTGATTTCAAACTACAAATCAAGAAAGAAATTGTTTATCAAACAATATGTGATAATTATTAATTCTACATCTACAATATCAAATTATTTAAACAATCATTTAATTAGTTTTATTTAAAGATTTAAACATAAGGACTAATTTAGCTGCCTTTTCTACACTCAATTGATTCCGTAGTTTAGTATGTACAAGTCCAAAAGTGGAAAACATCCTCTCTATCCCTGCAGTTGTTCCTTTTGCAGTACATAACAACTGTATTGCATCAAACTCTTTTTGACCTACACAGTTCTTTAGAAGCGCAATTGATTTCCACCATTCCAAGATGTTTAAAGATTCTAGAGATTCTTTATCAAACAAAGTTCCATTAAACGGAGGAGAGCGTACAATGAATGTTAGCAAAATACTTAATAAGGAGGTTTTTCCATACTTTTCTTTAACAAAGTTTACAGCTTGATCTTTTTCATTTAGTGTTAAACATTGTACTTCAGAATTAGGATCCAAGAGGTAAGCTAGGAAATGAGCTGGTGTTAACGCTTGTTCATATCGTTTAGTAAAAAAAATTTTGCAGCAATTATTATTAGAATCTTTCAGAGTTTCCTTTAAATTTTTCCAGATGTTGACAACATTTGATAAACTACAATTATCTGTCTAATTAGATAATTGATCTCTATAAATATCTAATTTGATTAAAATCAGTGATTTTTTTAAAAAAATCATTTGATTTAAATCATGATTTTAATCAATGATTTTAATCATTTGATTAAAATCATTTACACCCTGAGTAGGGGTGCACAACCTGTGGCCCTTCGACTACTAAAGTGCGGCCCGCGAGAGCTTATAAACGCAATAAAAAAAATTTTAAAAAATGGCAATTTTTAATCGAATTTTTAAGTCATCACATTTTGACACAATAAATTTTAACAGATTCTTTGGTAAATGTACGTTTAACGCTCTTTCTTTAAGCCGATTTTATCGTACATATAAATGATTTTTTTAAACAGTTATTTCCGCTTTTCTACGTTATTTCGAAAATCCCAAATTTTTATTACGACGCGAGTTTCAGATCGCAAATTTAAATAATCACTTTCTCTGCACTTTATTTGTGACGATTTCATCTTAAATCTAAGTGATTTTTTATCTTTTTTTTGCAATTCTTTCTTTTTTTTCAAAATTTTTTTCGGCAGTTATTACTATGCGTTCCCACGTATTATAAAAAATTCCAATTGTTTTATTACGACATACAAATTTTAAATCATGCATTTGAAACGCTTTATTCGTGCTGAGTTCAGCATAAATATATTTTTTATTTCTATTCTTTTCCACATGATTTTGACGATCCCGTTATTTAACTATGATGTTATTACGACACGTGATTGTTAATCGCGCAATTAAATAATCCCTTTTTGATACGGTATTTCGGTACAGTTTTATCTTAAATCCTAGTTATTTTTCCTCCGTTTTTATTTCCACAACGAATATGATTTGGTCGAATGTGGTAATGAATTGTGATTTGATCAAAAATCACTTGGGGCCAAATAGCAAAATCTTTTAGCAGCATAGCAACACTGAAACTAAAATTTCAATGCTCAGAATAATATTTCCTGGAAAAACGTATACATAAATTAACTCTAAAAAATAAGGCCAATCAAGAACGTTTTTGAAAATGTCGAAAAGCGAAACAAAAACATAAAAATCAATCTTAATTTTTGAAAAAAATTTTAAAGCTGAACATCTCAGTTTTTCAATTACCAGAAAAGTCAAGAAAAAAGAATTAAGAAAGAAATGCTATTAAAAATTACTATGTTATAATGAAAACGTCTAAAAAAAGGTTTTTTTTATTTAAAGAAAATAAAAAGATAGAAAAAAAGCGTTCGTAATTTTTTAAATGAAAATCATATGCCGAAAATCTCAATTTAAATTTTTCTCATTGCCATAATTTTAGCAGAAAAAAAATTGCTATAAAATAAATTTTATTAGTAACTTTATTTTTAAAAAAAATGCTGAGTCATAATAAAAATGCCTTAAAAAAGAAAAGCAGAAAAAAACAAATTTTTCTTAGTTCCTGAAACAAAACTTTAATACTGAAAATCAAACTTTTGTATGTTACTGGTTATTTATATTACAGTACAGGGAAAGAGTGAAAATGAACTCAATTCTCAAAGTATTGAAAAAATGACAAAATTGACTTTTCTGATTATAATTTTTAAAAAAAAAAAGTAATATCTATAAAAATTCAAAAAACTTGGAAAAATACATTTCTGAAAAATATTCTGCCGAATATTTGACTGATCATTCAACCAACTGAATTTTTCACAGAAGGGCCAAATACTCGTTACATCCCTCCCTAATTTAAATGCAATGTTATTGCAACTTAAGAAATTCATAAAATGATGGAAAACGTGAATTTTTGAACTGCTCACTGTTTGTAGTTTAGATTTCAATTTTTTGCTGCTTAAGTGATCTTTTTCAATAAAAAAAAGGAAACTGTTAACGATATAAAAAAAAAATCTAATAATTAATAAAATAAAATAATAAAGCACATTACAAAATAAGCATTGAATTTTATTTTGAACTATCACAGTCTAATTTTNGGCTTTTGTTTAAAACCTATAAATTTTCTTCCATTAAAATATTTAATTTAAATTTATATTACTTAATTATGACTAAACTTTTTCCTACTTTCATTCTGTGGGGATTGCAGTTTTTTTTTTATTTATTAGAATTTAATTCTAAAATGAATTTTCGTATTGCACGATATGATAAAAGAAAAAAAACATTTCTTTTCTTCAATGTTTAATTATTTTGATAAATCTATTGTTCATATGATAAAAATTGCATGTTTTTTTTTTGTAAAAAAAAAATTATAAGTTTTTTTTTATTTTTGAATGAATTCTAATAGTGGAACACTACTAAGTTATTGATATTACTAAGTTTATTGATTAAAAAAAAATGGAACGCTAATGTTTAAATAAACATTATTACATTTGTCATTAACATGTCTAAATAGATCTGCGGCCCTTCGTTAGCCAGCCTGCTGTGCAAGTGGCCCTTCACTCAAAAAGGTTGTGCACTCCTAATCTAGCGTGAAACAATCAGATTTCCACAATAAAGAATGTCAATTAAGTCTTTTTTGTAAACGATAACACAAAGGGTTATAGTACAAAAGCAATAAAATATAATAATTTAATATCATAGAAAATTACAAGAAATAAGTAAAAACTCGAAGTTTTTTATTTCACATTACAATTATGGAAAATTAAAAGGACTGACAAAAAAAAAACTTTTTTTTTTGACAAGAGTAGCTCTCATGTAAAGTGTGCAAAATGAGTAATCGATCACCCGGAATAACTTATGATTGAATGCTCACATCTTCACGTCTAAGGACTTAATCTTAATTGATGAAGTGGGTGACCCCCAATATCCTAATTAATAAGTGAAGACAAAATTAAATTACTAAAATTCATAAAAACATACTTTCTCTGAATAAACATACTGTTTTTTTCCACCAGATTCTGACGCTTGAAGTATAGGGGTAAGTAACAATCTGGGAAATATGGTTCCAATAGTTTGATCAGATGAGTGATACTAGTTTGGATTCCTTAAGGTTAATTTGACGTTTTGCGTATTTCGTCGTATCTTGGGAACTTAAACGTCATCGTTGGTTTCATTCGTTTATCCAAAGACTGCTCGCAAAAAAAAAAAACTTTACTTTGTTTTATCAGTTTTTATTCGACTAAGTTTTAATTTCTCTGCTACAGTTTGATATTGATTTTTGAAAATTAAAATTACATTTATAAATTTAAAATGCTTTTGTTTTGGAGAAACAAACAAAACAAAAAAAATCAATTGCACTTTTTTAGTTAAATTTGTTAAAATCACATTTTTAAAAAAATCTTTAAAAAAAAAATTTTAAACTATCAATGATCTATTTTATGATCAGCATAAAATTTTATTTTTTATATGTTGAGAAGAAGGAATGAAATATAATTCCTAAACAAATGTGCTTTTTTCATAATTTTGCTTTAACTATAAAGAGAACGAATATTCTCAGAATATCTTCAGTCTTTAAGAAGAGTACTCTCACATCTCTAGGAATACATATTTTAAAAAAACAAAGTTTTTATAAAAAATGGAATAAAAATAGATCACCTAAAGGCTTTATTAAATGTATGATTTATGTCCATTTGCATAACGATATCAAGCTTTGGAGTTCCATTCTCTTGTGTTCGATACAATATCAAGCAATCATGCCGTGAAATGACGTCACTGCATATATAGTCATCAGTATGGACTTCAATAACTCGATTAGGGTCAATGTTTGTTTCTGAAATCCTCCTTAACCCATCAATTATGCTTTGAAACATCTTGGTTAGCTGAAAAAAATACTGGATCTAGGAGAAAATGGAACATTTGGTTTTAATTTAACTTGAAAAAACATTTTCATATTATTATTTAAAAACAGTATAAGCTGCTGAATGATCAACTTTGACAGTTTTAAATGGGATAACTTTCATTTGCTCTAGCTTTTTGAGGAAACCAAATCTCGCCAATTTCATTGAATTACTTTTAGCATTTTTATTTATCTCATTTTGGTGGTATAATGGGTTTAAAATGATTTTAAGGTAGAAAATCTTAAGCAGTTTATGGATGCAGTTCAAACTTTTGATTAACATTTCATTTTCTTCCTTAATAATTTTTAAAACTATTTTAATTATTTAAAATATAACATGTAACCATATATTTAAACACATAACTTAATTTTAAACACATTAAAAAAAAACGTTTTATAGTTAAAATGTTTAAGTATATATGTTTCTTAAAAATGTAATTCAGTACTTTTTACGCATTTTTGCAAAAACTATAAGATGCTGTATTTCATCCTACTTATTAATATATAATACAATACAGTTTATAATTAATCTACATCACAGTGTACAGAACACAATCACAAAGTTTCATAAAAATCCACCGACTTTGAGGTTACATATATTGCCTTTGGTTGTATAATCTACTCAGAAAATATTCATTTATATTTACTGGATACAATGGTGTGCAAAGAGGGGGTGAGGGAGACTGCATGCATTTAATCAAGAGCAATATTCACTTGAAGATAAGGTATACTAAACCTTTCAGTTAGTTAAATCATCAGTTATTAAAGTATTATTAGTTTGCTAAAGTAAAAAAATTCACAAAAAATAAAATATGATTCTCAAACGAGTTTGGTGCTTTAAATTATTGAAAATTAAGTAATGGGAAAATCTCTGCATCAATACCAGCAACAATAATAGACAAGTTTTTGTAACTTCGAGCAATAGTAAGCAAGAAACTAAAATAAGCATTACAGAAAATGGCCAACTAGAAAGGTGTAATACACAGCTACTCCCAACCAAATAATCATGTAAAAAAAAATTTTTTTTTTAAGGCAGCAACATTTTTGTAAGTTAAAAAACCCTTTGGTGCATTGGCTATTTTTGTTGAGGCAAACAGGTAAGCAAATATTACCTAAATAATCTTTATATTTGAAAAAAGAAAAAAAAAAACTTGAGAATATTTTGTAAGAAATGATATAGGATAATATAGAATAATTTTCACTCACATTACATAGAATAAAATTTAAAATGGATTTTGAAATAAGGTTCTTTTTGCAATGTAGTAAAAAAAAATTTTTTTTTATTAAAGAAATTGCCCATTTTCCTCCTTTAACGAGTAAGTTTCTCTTTTCAGGAGCTTATAAAAAAGTATGTGCCAAGTATCTAAACAACTGTGGACAAAACAGTCAGAAAAATAAAGGAGTATTGCAACATGATAATAAATTTGCAAAAAAATTTAAGTAGTAAAAAAATATATATTTTATCACTGTCCAAACACCCCTGCTGACTCAAGCCTCACTCACTAAAAAATAACAGAAAATTGTAAGATGATAATCAATTTAAATACTAAAAACATCTATATTTTATCTCTTTCCAAATACCATCCTCTGAAGAATAATGGAAAATCAAAACGCGATAATAAATTTGCAATAAATTTAAATTAAAAAAAAAATCAATGTTTTCCAAACACTCCTGTATGCAACTGACGGAGAAATAAAGAAAAATTGCAATGTGACAGTAAATTTGCACCTGATTAAACAACTCTGTCTAAACAACTCTTCCTGATTAAACAACTCTGTTCGCATTATATTTTTAAATAAATGTCACTCAAAAAGCTACAATATAGGTAATTAAAATTTAATTAGTGTTAATGATTAAATAGAATGATTTGTTAAATAATCGAACAGAATAAAAAATTAAATTCCAACTAAGTTTTCAGAATTTTTTTTTATGGATTTATGATCTTTCTTACTTGCTGATTTACAAAAATGATTTGAATATTAAGGAATAAGGAAAACTTTTTATTATCCAGTAATAAACAAATCAGTCACTCGGAATTTCGAAATGCAATTAAGTTAATTAACAGATTTATTTAATAAAGATGATCATTAAGACTGTTGACGAGAAACAACCTCAATGTTTGTTGCATAGCAATAAAAATAAGATCATGCAGACTCACTTCAAATAGTTATAAATGGAACTGTTAAATTTTGCAACACCTCACACAATTTACATATTATGACGGAAAATATAAATTTTGATAAGAAATCAAGTTTGATAACAAACATCACGAACAAATAATTTTAACATTGCCAAAAGTAAAAAATAAAAATCTTCTGAAATCAATCAATGAGGCTATACTTAGCTCAAAATTGAAAAACTAAAAATCATTCCCTTACAAATCATTTTATTCCTTTAATTAATTTTAAAAATATTTCGAAGAATTTATTACAATTTTTTAAAATATATATGACGTGGGTTTTGGAAGTTCTTTCAATTTCGGCAACTCATTTATGAGACGTCATGATTAAGCAGTTTCACTTTTTATTTTCATTTCAGCAGCAACATCTTTAGAAACAGGACGGGACGGGAAATGAAACGAGAAATTTGATTTTCTTTCGTTTATGTAGACTGTTGTATATGAAATTATTCCAATTCAATGAAATTTTAATATTTCATTTGTAATTAATACGTTACTGAAAATTTTGATTCTAATTTGTATTGACAAAGGATTTCGTCAGTCTAAATCTTTGTTACCAGATATCGCAAGTTAAAAAGAAATTTTAAAACACCAAGCGTTATTTGAGAAATCACAATTTTTTAATTGGAAAATGTCTGGGAAAAAGTAAGATTTCCTATTGCTTAATCTCTCTTTTCTTTTTACGAAATTATTATTTAAATTTATGTAATTATATTGTAATGCTATTCAAGCACATTGTTTACCACCGGCATTTCTACTATAAATTACTTTAAGCTGATATTTTATTAATTCTGTGTCGAATCTATATTTATATGTAACTGACGAATTGATTTATTTAGTAGGTTCTGAAGTGTAAGTACAAAATGTACGTTTTCTGCACTGCTATTGTCATAGTCGTTAAGCCTAATTTAGAAAATTGCAGAGTCACTCTAAGCCTAATAGTTACTTAAAAATTGTTTATTGTTGATTTTATGTCAACATATGTAATTATGATACATAATTCTGTTGTCAGTTAGAAAAATTAAAGCGATTTGTTTTGTTCTAATCTGTTGCTTACACACTTATCACGAAGCTCTCGATGGATACATTGCCTAAATGTGATCAGTTTAAATTCATTACTATATTGAATTAATCCTTAATTTTCTTCTTTTTTTTAAATATTAGCCATACATTTGTTTGAACTCAAATTTGTCCCTTTTGATTGGTGTTTATTTAAGTTGTAACTTCTCATCTCTGTTAAGTGCTTTTTTTGTATGGATTGGTTTTCATAAAAGAATAAACGAATTCCTCAAAGTGTATTTTTTTTTTTTTTTTTAAATACTTTTAAAATTGTTGTTTCTAAAATACTACTTTTTATAATTAAAAAAGTTATGTTAATAAAACTAAAACTTCATATTTAAAACTTGTGATAGAAAATATGCTACACTAATAATTAATGTGCATATGTATGGTTTGTGTTTGAAGTGACAAACAGTGTTTTATTAAATTGGCATTCTTTATTTATATGTACAAAAAAAAATTCAAGTTTAATTTTTTATAAATACAATATTAAGAAAAGTCAAGTTTAATTTGATTTAGCTTTTCTTTTTAAAGATATTTTAAGATTCTCTTAGGAATTGTATAAGCCTTTTGCTTTCTTTGTTTCATGCTATTTGAGGAAAATATTCTTTTTACTTGTTCAAGCTTATTCTTTTAAAGTAAAGGAATTATTTGATTTTCATTATTAAAGTGTAGAAAAGTAGGATTTTCATGTTTAAAGTGTAGAATAGTGCTCTTTTGATTTGGTACTCTTAAAGTTTACGCTGTTTATAAAATATCTAATTTTCCTTTTATTTCTATAATTTCTTATTAAAACCTTCACTGTGTATAAGTAGACCACTACTGCTTTTGAGCTCTGTCAATTGATATTGAATGAGTAATGATCATTGACAGCTAATGACAATAGGTGTTCTATAGTTTTGCTTAATTCATAAGCTGTTTTCATTTGGGTTCTTTTTCCCTTGTTTCTTAATTTATTAATTCTAACTAAATTCTTTATAAAATGCAATCCACAAAAGTGAAGTTTTCATTATTTTAAATATATACTCTACAAAAATTATATTTTAGAAAACAGCAATAATGATTTGATAAAAGTTGTTTTTTGCATGTTTTTCGAAATAGTAATGATTCTGTACTTCCAGATTTGATTTAAAAGCAGCTGTTTTTAGAATATAGTGGTATTAATTGTGGTAGTCACTATATTAGTTTTAAAACTTGTCTTTTACTAGACATTTTCAATTTTGAAATTTATATATTTTTAAGTGGCAGTTGAGTTTCAAAAATAAATTAGGTCTGCATTTACATACCAGGGTTTGTTGATTTAAATCAAATGATTCTTAAAAAAATCATTGATATAAATTAACTGATTTATTTATATATATATATTGATTTACAAAGTTAAAAAAAAAAGTTTTAAATTATTGATACTTTTATTATTTCTTTTCTAAGTTTTAAAATTTATTTTAAATAAATTGCTGCATTATAATTAATTTTAGCTAACAAAATTACTTTCTTTCTTGGTATGTGTTAAATTCCAGAACATTTGAAATTACATTTTTATAAATCTTTTGATTCTTGAGATTTAAAGTACAGATTAAAGTAAACATTTAAGTTTTTTTCATATGTTTACAGTATCTTTGACATTATCAGATTTTCTATAAAGAAATTTTGTAGGAAAAAAATTTAATGAGTACATCGAATTTATAAAATTTATTTTTAGCTTAACTTATCTATTTTGGTATAAGATTAAAAATGATTATAAGATTAATTTTAAAATAAAAACATATAGATTAAATATGTATTTCTTTTTTGATGAATGACTTTATTTATAAACACAATCTGTTACATTTATTTTGTATTTTTAAAATCAAAAGAAAAAAAAAAGAAATCACAATTTTAAATTAAAATTATGGTTTTGTAATTGAAACTTTGTTTTAAAGAATTCTTTAAATTTTCTATTTCATCTAGTCTTTAAATTTCAATCATGCATTTGTTTCAAAATGGTTACTATGCATTCAGAGCTATGTATTATAATGAAAAATTTGTTTATGTAGTTAGAGCTTCTAAAACATTCTTATAATATATTTAGTTTTAATATTAATTTAATTTTGATTAAACATTTAGTCACAAGTTTTTTTAGTCATGAAATAAAGTTCTTACAGTGTATTTGAATAAAAATCAAAAAAGTCAGATTTAAATCAAAAAAATCCGATTTAAATAAAAAAAATCTGAATTTCATGATTTTTTTAAAAAAAAAATCACGAACTCTGGTACATACTAATAGCGTGAGTCAGTGCGTCACTGGTTGCAAGCAATCTATCTATTTATTATAGTTATACAGTTTATGATTATTCTTTATTTCTTTTTAGTCCTGAAGAATTGGCTACTGCCATTTTGAAAACTAAATCAAAGCCTAACAGATTGTTAGTTGAAGAAGCTGTTAACGATGATAATTCAGTGGTTGATTTGTCACAGGTATAAGTTGTAATAAAATAATATTTTCATATATTTGGAGCAACATACCTTTTAAACTATTCAACTTCTTTGCTTTTTTGTGCTTTTAGACTAAAATGAATGAGCTTCAGCTATTCAGAGGGGATACAATTCTTTTGAAAGGAAAAAAGAGAAGAGAAACAGTTTGCATTGTTTTGTCTAGTGATACAGTTCCCAATGAGAAAATACGCATGAACAGATGTGTCCGAAATAATCTTAGAGTGAGACTTGGAGATGTAGTTAAGTAAGTTATGAATGTATAATTAAAATTATTTAATTATGAAAATAGCATTTACAAGATAACAGGTTCTTATTTTAAAGGAAGTCTTGATTTTATTGCAAATAATGAATAAGTCTGAGATTGTGATGACATTTGCATTTTTGGAAATTTTTCTCTTTTAAGATTCATTATAAAGTTACTTTTTTGAAGATGCATTTAAAAGTTGGAATTTCTGTGCTACAGATTTGCTGTCCCATTTTTTTTGTTTTGGTTCCACTTCAGGGGTCTGTTTAGAAGAAATTTGGGTCCGTTAACGGACCCTTCACAAAATGATTTTTCTTTTAATCGGACCCTTCACAAATTTGTTTATCTTCATTATTATTTTGTTAATAGAATAAACCCTTTCCAGGGCAGAAAACAAGAAAGATGGATGTAAACGGCAGACGATTCTTCCATTATTCGTCCTAAATGAATATTCTGTGTTCTAGGCTAAATACCAAATATTTGTATGTTGCATTTCTAATTTAGAAGCAGCAATTGTTGTTTATTTTTTAAAATTTAATTTTTTTAATTATAATTTTACAGTGTTGAGCATAATCTTGTAAGTCTTTACAATTTAAAAACTCCTTGAAAAAGTTTTTTTTTTTGCAATAACAGACCCTATTTGCACAAATTCATAAAAGCGGACCCTGGTTGAAAGAATGTGAGTAATTTTTTCACAATTTCACGAAAAATGGACCTTTCCTAAAATGTCTGGACAGACCCCTGCACTTACATTAATTCATTTCAAGAAAATTACTCATATCAAACATTCCTTTATAATATGCATTACTTCAATTTTATTTAAAAGTTATAATTTTTAATTCAGCACATTGATTAAATTTTTTTATTTATTTAAATGCTTCCTAAAATTAAATCTAAGTCCACTATAAACAAACTATCGATTTCTATGCTGTTTGTTATAAATGTATGACATAACACCAGTTAAATAACAGTTTAGACGGGTCCACTAAAAGTGTTCATTACAACTGAGTGTTCAAACCAATAATTGGTTCATTGGCTGGGTTAGACTGCATTATTGATCTATTTGAAAAATTAGTTTACTTTTGTTCATGAAGATATCATTTGGATTCCAATACTCTTGACTTGTTCTTGTAGATCACTAATTTTTTTTTTTTAATTTTTCTGTGCAAAGCCAAGGTTTATCCACTGGTCTATTTTTAATATTTATAGGCGAATAATGTAATAGCTGATAAATAAAACATATAAATGCATTTAAAATATTTTGAATTCAAAGGTATTAATGAAAATTTATTCCTATATTTTGAAATTTTTTTAGTATTCAGCCATGCCCAGATGTGAAATATGGGAAAAGAGTTCATGTATTACCTATTGATGACACTGTTGAAGGATTGACTGGGTAAACTCTCATTTTGAACTAATTATGTGTAATTTACTTTTATAGAACTATAGTTTTTTAGCTATTCACTGTCCATAATTTAATATTTGATTGCTAAAATCTTGTAGCTCATGAGCAGTATTTAATAAAATTTCATTTTCACATTACAGTATACTTAATAAATTTTTTTGATCATATTTTGAATAATTTTTGGTTTCATTTTCTTTTTTTTTACAAGGGAAGCAAAATAGTCGATGTGTTTTCCCTTTGTAAAAAGTACTGATTTTTTTTTTTTTTTTTTACTCTCTGTAATTCAAGAAATAAAATACTATAATTAGGCAAATAGATACTTAAGATTCTTACTCTGTTGGACTTTTTTTTTAATGAACAGCAAAATATACTTGTTGTTGGAGCTTTTACTAGAATGAAAATAAATTCTGCAAATAACTTCTTTTTTTTATTCATTTTTTTTTCATGTTTCGTTTTATTTTTAAAATGATGTACCATTATTAAAAGATTGACTTTTGCTTGGTTTATATTTGGGTGCTTGTAAAAGTTAAGCTAGTGTCCTCTAAAACTGTAGTTGTCTTTATTCATAAGATACAAGCACTCTATGCTTATTATTATTATTTTCAGGAAAGATTGTGTAACTTGTAATTTTTTAAAAAAAAATTCTGTAATATTTGTAGGAGTTTGTTCGATGTCTACTTAAAACCTTATTTCCTGGAGGCATACAGGCCCATTCATAAAGGTGATCTCTTCATTGTAAGAGGTGGGATGAGAGCTGTTGAATTTAAAGTGGTTGAAACTGATCCTAGTCCTTATTGCATTGTTGCTCCTGATACTGTCATCCATTGTGAGGGGGATCCCATTAAAAGAGAAGTATGTTTTATTTCTTATCATTTTCTACATAGGCATAAAATTAAACTCTTCATTTTAATATCTGCATTATATTTATATTTTCCATTATTTATCCTGCAGTTTAAAAATTAACAACATGGAATACTTAGCCTAAATCATTCCTTCTCCCCTGCCCTAAAATATCATACTGTCTCATGCTAGTAGCAATTTATCACAATTAAGCAATTTTCTTAATAGTCATTTTGGCACATAACTTTATTTTCTTAAATTTTCCTTCAATTGCAGTTGATTTTAATCACTAAAGAACATGCAATGAACTCCCATTGAAATTCATTTTTGTTTAGCGCTGTAAGTTTGAAAACATCTGATTTTTTTCAATTATTTATTGGAAAAACAAGTGGCACAGAACAAGGTTAAGTTGTAATTTTATCAGTGTGGAAAAATCTGGAAATATAATTTAAATAATCTAAAAGTCAAAGTATATGAATTAATTCGGAGATGCCTAAAATCCAATGTATTTTCCAAAATAATCCTTTTAATAATTTTTTTAAGAAAATGTTCATTTTTGGCTATTATATACATTTTATAATATATTTTGTTTACAAAAAGAAACTTAACTGAATACTATTCATAATTTTTATGCTACTAGTACAAAAAAAATTCAGGCAAATTCGATAAATCAGTCTAAAAAAAGTCATGGAATTTTTTTCTGAGTGTTTGTTACTACCCTGAATGAGTAATGCTGATCCTATGAGAAATATAATGTCCTACTACTAAATAAAATGAGCCTTGTCTGCATTGTCCCATTTTCAGAGCCAAAGTTCAGAGAATTCTGGAATCATAAGAGGTACACAGATCCATACAAACTCTTACTTTTATTATGAAAGTGTTTTAGGTTTTGTTCTGTTAATTTATAACTTATGTCATGGACCGAATATTGCATAAAATCAAGGTATACACTGAGTTTATATTTTCCTCCTTACTTCAGAATGTAGTAAAGCGAAAATCAAGTTTTTATCCGACTAATTAGTTCATCTTTTCTTCACGGCAAAACTGATATTATTATTAATCGCTATGCTTGCTCTCAATCTAAATCCCTTGATTATGATTTTTCCCGGGTTTCAAATAATTTTTTTTTAATAGAATTTGGTTAAATGTTTTAGCCAAAAGGCAAATAAGTGTTTCATTTTGAAATTTTTTAGTTAGAATCTAAATAATTGTCATTAATTTTTGAATTAAAACCAATTTTTTATATCAATATTTAAATCTTTATAGGAGGAAGAAGAAACATTAAATGCAGTTGGTTATGATGATGTTGGAGGATGTAGAAAGCAGTTGGCTCAAATTAAAGAGATGGTTGAACTTCCTCTTCGTCATCCCAGCCTTTTTAGTGCTATTGGAGTAAAGGTAATAAATATAAATTTTTAAACTCTGTTGTTATTTTGAAATCTGCTGTAATGTGATGTTAAATGATAATATTTAAATTTGTAGCCTCCCAGAGGTATTCTACTGTATGGCCCCCCTGGAACTGGGAAAACTCTTATTGCTAGAGCTGTAGCTAATGAAACTGGTGCCTTTTTCTTCCTGATAAACGGTAAACATCCTTTTTGTATAATTTTTTTTAAAGAAAAATCAAACTCTAATTTTTTTTTTTAATTAAATAAATGTTAAAAAGCTGTATTGACAAAATGCTGCAAAGAGAAAAAAAAAAAAAATATTAATTCTGCTTGAACTGTATATGGATTTATTTCATTCTTTAGTATGATTAGATGATATTCATCTTAAATTCAAACAAAGTTTTTAAGGGCCTTATATTTGCAAATTTATCTACATGTATGTCAGATTAAGAGGAATTTTTTGCAGTTATCGATCTGGCTATGTTGAGGTTGCAGACAAATTTGTATTTATGAAGATAGTGCTGCAGATTCACTCTGTAAACTCTGGAATAAATTAAGCTTTTTAGTCTAGATATAACCTTCATTATCAATGTAATCATACTTAAAAAAATATCAAAGCCTTAAGAATATGCTTATAAATTTTATTGTATAAAAATATCAGTCTATTAAGAATAATATTTTTGTAAAATTTTTTTTATTTTTAGAATCTAGTTATAATTAAACTAAACACGTTTTTGCAACTAATCTTTTTCAAAGTTTAATTCGCTTCATGAATTTACCTTCTTTTAAGTAACCATTATTGTCTATTCTCAGGTCTTTTTTATATGAATTTTGTTTTTGTGTTAGCTTTAGTTTGACACTTAAATTCTGAGTTTATCACTATTTATAAACTTTCTCATGTCTTAGAAACTTATTATAAATTATTATTTCTTAGTAGCCTTTAGAAGTAGCTACTTATTATTTATATATTATTTTTCAGTAGTCCTTAGAATAGTCCTAGGAAAACAGGATTTCAAACAAAATCCTGTCTTTTTAGTGTCACTTTTATTTCTCGTTTTATTCGTTCATAATAAAGTTATGTGAGTAAATATTGACAAAGAATTCAATGCAAGTTTTAATACGTATCTATAATACAACTGACATTTTTTAAGTGGTTTAGGCTCATTTAAAATTTTTATGGTATTACATTTTGTATAATTTTTTTCTTTAAATAGACTTAAATGTTTATTTTTTTACATCATCGTTATAAAATTAAGGTCAAGAAAATTTCTCACATAATTGAATTACATGCATTAGATTCTGAAATATACCTTTAATAATTTAAGTCCTTATGAAATTTCTGAAAGTGTTTATTTTCAATTTTAAAAGTATAGTGGGAGTCCTGAATGCCATTAATTTTTATCTAGGAATGCACAACCTGATTGCTAAATGTAAACCATAAAATTTTTCTATGACACTTGCCTATAGCAAAAAGAAATGAATAAAATTATATTAATAAAATAAAATAGTAGCTAATAAAATAAAATTGCTTAGAAAATAAAAAATTTTCCTTTGAAAATAAATTGGATCAATATGCTCCAACTAATAACTAAATTAGAAATTTTTGTTGTGCAATTTAACAGTATAGTGGGAAAGCACTTGTGAGAGAGATTAATTGTTTTGACCTACCTTTTCTATACTAATGCTCATTGACATTTAGAATATCTTTTTCTTTTTTTTTTAAATAATTTATTTAAAATTTCTTAGGACCTGAAATTATGAGTAAGCTGGCTGGTGAATCTGAAAGCAATTTGAGAAAGGCTTTTGAAGAAGCTGAAAAAAATGCTCCTGCGATAATTTTCATTGATGAACTTGATGCTATTGCACCTAAAAGAGAAAAGGTTGGATTTTAATATTTTTTTGATGATTAAAATTTTTTAATTTTTTTCATATTCTGTGTTCTACTTGATGCAACTAAACTTAATTTTGATTTTTAGTTCATTGCACTTTTTCAATTTAATTGTTCATTTAACTTGTTTTAGACGCATGGTGAAGTTGAAAGACGTATTGTATCACAATTATTAACCTTGATGGATGGTCTCAAACAAAGATCTCATGTGATTGTAATGGCCGCTACCAACAGACCTAACAGCATTGATGCTGCTTTGAGACGTTTTGGTAAGTATTCTTTATAAATAAATAAAAATAAAGCTATCAATTTGTTTTATTTATTTTGAGATAGTGACCTAATTTTGGTTGGACTGATAGTGTGATAAGCATAATTAGTTCATTAAATTTAAAAAAATTTTACTGTGCATTTTTCTAATAACAATTGGATGAAACAGTATGAAAATTTTCACAATTTTAGTAAAACTGAGAAACTTGCTGATATGAAAATTATAGGTGCAGACATTAAATTTTGATTTGAAATAACTCAGAAATTAATTTTTTTTCTGAGTAATTTAGTCTGACAAAACAGACAAAACTGCAGGGAAATTGCAGCCCCATGCTCTTTAACAACTGAAAATGAGCCACTGTGTTTCTCTGTTTTAGGATGGTTTAATAGTTTTTGGATTTTTTAATGTAAAAGAAAAACCTGTCAGAGTAAAACTACTTTTTTGCTGCCATGTTTTCTTTGTGTGTGGTGGTAAAAATCTTGATCTGATTTTAGTTTTCTTACTTTTTAGTCTTTTTTTTAAACACTTTTTGCTATTTTTTAATGTAAAAGAAAAAAAAAATTCTAATTAAAGTAACATGAAATTTTTTTTTTACAGGACGTTTTGATCGTGAGGTAGATATTGGCATTCCTGATGCCACTGGTCGATTAGAAATCCTGCGTATTCACACTAAAAACATGAAATTAGCTGAGGATGTTGATCTTGAGAAGGTAAAACTGTTAATTTTGTCTTTATTTAAACTTTCATTATGTTTTACAATGGTGTATGCAGAAAATGTAATAAAAAAAGTTGTGGGTCTTGACATCAAGTATCACATTGTTTTACTTTTAGGAAATATTTTCACATAAAATTTAATGTGGCAGTATTTATGAAAACAAATTACAAAAGTTTTATTTTTATAATTTAATTCTGAATTAAATTTTGTCTTATCCATTATAAAATGATTGTAGTGTTTGAACTATTCAATTTGTTTTTCATAAAAATCAAATTCTGCATTTAAATCACAAATATTAATTTGATTGTGGAAACAAGCTAATGATCATGTTATTTCTATGCTAAGGTTTTCTCAATATTTTACCCTATTAAAAATTTTGCTGATTGTTAATCAGTTTCTTTAACATATAATCTCATTATTTGTTTCATTTAATTTTAGATTGCTGCTGAAACTCATGGTTTTGTTGGTTCAGATTTAGCCGCTCTCTGTTCAGAAGCTGCACTGCAACAAATTCGTGAGAAAATGGATCTTATTGATCTGGAAGATGAACAAATAGATGCCGAAGTTCTCAATTCATTAGCTGTTACCATGGACAACTTTAGAGTAAGTATTGTATTCAAAGTGAAAAAAACTCTAAATATGTATGTCATGTTGTTAAAATTTATTTTCTAATGTTTTAGTGGGCGATGGGCAAGAGCAGTCCAAGTGCTCTGCGTGAGACAGTTGTGGAAGTGCCCAGTGTCACTTGGGAAGACATTGGTGGTTTGGAACCTGTAAAGAAAGAACTTCAAGAAATGATTCAGGTATACCATGAATATTTTTTAAATAAATTATTTTAGTTTTTATAGTCTGCTGTTTTTTAATGTTACATTGCAATCAATCTTACTTGGTCACTTATAAATTACAGCCTACATCTTCTATGCATTTTTTATGTTTGGTTTGAATATTTTTTATCTGGTTGTATCAGAAAATTTCATTTATCCAGATAATCATTTATCTTTGTTATCCAGATTAATTTCGATAAAAAGTAGTTAACAAGTAACAATTTGTTATTAGAACTTATAGAATAGTTGCTTTGCTTCTGTGAATCATTTTACAAGTTATAACACAGCAAAGACTGAGGGATGTGCAAAATAAGTTATGGTGTTTCCTGAAACATAAATAATGCTACGCCAGGTTTTTTATGCAAATTTGTAGCCAATCTTTATATACGTTCAGTATGTATCTTCATTTTTTTTTTTTTTTTTTTTTTTTTTTNCCTGAGCTTTTCTTTGCAGTTTTTTTTTTTTTTTTTTTTTTTAATTACTGCCGAAGGTAAAAGGTCGGGATAATTCTGAGTATCAGGTTGCAATGTTGCTTTTACCTGATGCAGTTGTTGATCAACCCTAATTGTTCAAATATAAATATTTTGGTTTTGGAATTCTTTGTTTGGTCTATCAACCAATAGAACAATTATAAATGTACGTATGAGATGGATAAAGTAGAGAAATCATATTTTAAATAGGGACCCACTTTTAGAATAAAAAGACCCAGAAATTTAAAATTTGTTGTTAGTTCTAAGGATTTGTAGTTTCCAAAATAAAGCAGAAACACTGCTGCAAAGTTATATATGCTCTTTACTTTCTGAGGAGTTTTTATTAATTTGGGTTCTAAATTTTTAATCTTATGATAATTAATAAGTTCTGTCACCAAAGAAAATTTGAATTAATCTCTTAAATAAGCTATAATTTTTAACTATTTATAATTTATTAGATTTATTTTAAACATTGTGTAATTATTTTCAACTTTAAACTATATCTGGATTAAAATAATTGACTGGATATAAAAATGAACAAGTGCTTTGAATATTTTTACAATAAGATGCAGATTTTATTATCAAGTGCAGATTTTTTTATCAAATATTAAAAATTAATGAATAATTTTCAATTGAATCTTGAATGTAGTGTTATAACTTTTCAGCTAATAAAAAATTGATTGCAAATGTTTTTTATTTGCAAGAGAGTTGCTAGCTTTTTTAAGTTCATATTTTGTACCATTTTCATAATCTGCCTATTGGGCTCTGGCTCTAGATTTTCAAAACTTATCTAACAGGGATGAATTGCAAAATGTATTTTATTGCATTAATTGAATTGTATACTCTCTCTCTTCCAGTATCCAGTGGAGTATCCTGACAAGTTCTTAAAATTTGGAATGACTCCATCTCGAGGTGTGTTGTTTTATGGTCCCCCTGGCTGTGGTAAAACTCTTTTAGCCAAAGCTATTGCTAATGAATGCCAAGCAAACTTCATTTCCATTAAGGGTCCAGAGTTGTTAACCATGTGGTTTGGAGAATCAGAAGCTAATGTCAGAGACATCTTCGATAAGGTATAATTTTGCTTATTTCCATTAACTTTGTTAAAAAGACTTATCTATCAACAGAAAAGTATTTGAGTATCCACTTTTAAGCAGGAATAAGATTTTTCTTTTTTGTTATTTTTCCCAGGAATGTGATTCTTCCATTCATTTGCGGAATTCTAAGAATCTCGAGACCGTTGACTGAACTTCCGGGAATCTATAATTTATATTCCGATTGTTAGTCACACTCAAATTTAATTTCTGTTACTTACGCAAAATCTCGCTAACGAGGCATTTATCTCACCTTTGCCAGCATCCTTTTTTTTTTTTAAACTCATTCATGCAGTATAACAATTTTTGTTAAAAGTAATTCAGAAATGGCAAACATTTAAAAAATTATTCACTAGAAAAAATGGTATTCATTTTTTTTTTCTTCATACTTATATTTTAATGGGTAGTAAGTATTTTTTGAAAATTCTGGTTTGTGACAGTTAATGTGATATATTTTCCTGTTTTTTGTTTGACTACTATATCAATGAATTTTTAATTTGCTATAATGACATGGAATCTCTAATTGTGTATTTTAGTAATCACTTTCAGCTCACTCGATACCATTTTGTATATCCGTGTTTTGATCTTTTTACATAGGAAAAAATTTTCTTTCTCTTTTTAAATTTTGTAAGTGTTACTTTTGTGCATAAAAATGAATCTTAAATATTTTCTTTGTATAAGAAGGAAAAAAAATACAGTGCTAAAAAAAACTTGAGAAATTTTTTTTTACATGATTTCTTCTTCCAGCAATCACATGCTAGTTTTTCTGCCAAAATCTCGCTTTATTTGCAAAAATTCCAATTTTTTTTAAAAAAATTTTTTAACCGAAAATCCTAATTTTTTAAAAATGTTCTTTAAGTCAGCTATGTTATGCTAAAATCCGACCTTTTTTTAAAAATTCTATTTTTTTAATTTTTTTTATTAAATTTATAATTTTTAAAAAAAAGTTTTCTTAAATATAGTTTTTCAGAATAGGATAATTGTGTTAATTCAAATTGTCAAAGTAAGCAAACATTTTTGATGTTTTGATTACTCATAATAAATGTCGATTCTTCAATTGAAGGGACGACCCAGTTGTACCATTGCTGAAATGCCTGTACATTAACAATTACTCCAAAACTGTATTTAGCATGTGACACATCTCATGACAACTGAGGTTGCTTTTTTTTATTTTTAGTTATAAAGAAAGCTTATAGAGTTACTATTTTCAAAAGACTGACAAAAACTTTATTAAAAGTCCACTATTTTGAAAAAATATATACTGTTGCTAAACTAGCGAGCTTGAAAAATCTAATTATAGCTTTCTAGTAAAAAAATTTTACATTTGTGAAACCATGTGAAAATGAGGACAAAAGAATAATTACCGCAAAAATGATGCAACAATGTTAAGTTTTTTATTTTTTTAATAATTTAGATTGTTAAAAATGTTATACAAGTGTTTTTATTTATGTATCAATAGAGAAGTATGAAAGTTTCCACTTTCACGTTAACTAATCAGATTACTTTGAAGAATAATATATAATTTCATTTGTTTAGGCTCGTGCTGCTGCACCTTGTGTTTTGTTCTTTGATGAATTAGATTCCATCGCAAAAGCAAGAGGTGGAAATGTTGGTGATGCAGGTATGATCTAGTGTATTATTTTGCATTAATTTCAAATTTTCCTTGAGTTTCTTTGTTTGCTTAAAGGTGTTTGTTGTAAAGTATAATTATTGTAAGAGAAAGTGCCCTTAATAAGTAAAAGTAAATATTCCTATGTCCTACACCTGATAAATTTATTCAAATTGCTTTAGTCGAGCATGATCTCCAATGCTGTTCAAATCTTGTATGTAATTTTTCTTAAATATGACATTTGCGATTTTACATTAGCTTTAGTCTTTGTTATTATTATTGCAAAATTTTAACTCTATGTAGAAGTATCTTATTTTTATATTAGTTATTTGTTATAACTAATCAATGGAGAATCTATTAAGCTTTATTAAAAATAGAAATTTTGTGAAGAATTTAATTATTGAAATGGAGTTTTTATTATGTTAATTGACATTTATTTAAAAAAAAGTATTCATTGAATTTAAAAAAAATTTTTTTTTTTTTACTTCTATGAGCATGGTGTCAAACAATTAATGATTTGTGTATTTTCCTTTTTAAAATTGTTTTCTTTATAATTTGCTTTTCCTTTCTAATTTTATTTTAATAGGTGGAGCTGCTGACAGAGTAATTAACCAAATATTGACTGAAATGGATGGTATGAGTAGTAAAAAGAATGTTTTCATCATTGGTGCTACAAACAGGTATGCAAATATTTAAGTCTAATTGTCTAAAGCCTGGTATTACTGAAAATTACTTTAAAAAAATAAAATTCATTTGAAGCAATAGATATTTATATTAACTCTGATAAAGTCTGAAGCTTATCTACTTTTCATTGCATGAGGCATGCTTACAGAGAAGTGTTGGCAAGTTAATTTCTTAGAGGAATATTTAGAGAGAGAAATAATTCTTTTAAATGGAGAAAAATACTTTTCATTAAATACTATTTTGAATGATTCTAATTATTGTATATTTTAATAAGTGCTTATAGAAATTTTCTACTAGTGACAGCTTACGATATTTGTTGTAGAACATACAAGATCAGACATAAATGTTCTTGTCTTGATATATGAGCCGCTCAGAAGCCAATGCGGTTAAGTCCATTTTTTGATATTTTCTGATTTTTGGAAATTTTGATGAAATAAATAATAATCTTCTTAGTTATTAAAGGATTTACTCATTGGTTACTTTTTTCTAGGTTAGGCAGCCCTTTTTTTTTAACAGCTTCTGAATATATTGTATCATAATTTCAGAAGGCATTGTGAATAAGTCCACCTTTTATCAATTTTTTTTTTACATAAACTTTGAAATAAAAATTAAATTATTCTTCTTTCGATATTTGTTGGTAACACTGAAAAACAAGAAATTCATAGTAACTAAGTGTTGCCAGACGTAGTATTTTTAATACTACGGTAATATTTTTTCACCAAAAATGTTTGTTATGATGAATAAACATAAAACTTATGACAATAAATGTTATTTTATTATTTTTACATAAATTTCTTATCTTTTTCAGCTGCCAAAAGGTATAAGTCCTAAAATTTTTAAGATGCTGTCATTATTTCAATAAATACTTAAGTTTTTATTTACACATCCTGTACATATCTTGTTTTTTTTGCAGAGTTTACACCTCGAAAAAGACTTTATACACTTTTCTAATTAAATTAATAAGCGAAGAATTTTAAAAACTAATGTATCAAAAAACATTAATTTTCTCAATTTTTGTGTTTTGGACTTAATTGCATTGGCTTCTGAGCGACTCATATTTTTAACTGAATTTTCATAAAAACTCTAGTGAATTTTTTCAAAATTATTATTAATTAATTTAAACTGATATAATCAATTTTATTTAAGCAGTTTAATTTTAGTTTTATATTTTCTTTTATAGCTTTGTACAGTACATTAAATTGTAATTTAAACAAATGTATAATTAATGAATTTTCAATTAGATTTCATTTCTGTTGGTGTTGTAACATAGAATTATAAATTATCCATGTTTTTTTAATTTTTTTTTATAAACTTATGGACTTACTTTTGCCCAGTAACAATGTTTTGTAATTAGTGAGCCAGAATTCACTCTTAACATAATTTTGATAGTTGGTAATTTAATTTTATTATTAATGTAGTTGCCACATTTATGCAAAACAGCCATTGCAAATTTTGATTTTTTGAAGAAGAAAAAATGGAGGCTAAAAAACCCTATTCCATTACTGGATTTGTTCCATATGTTTTGTGTATTAAATCAGCTAGGTTTTTGAAAAGCTTACAGTATTATTAATTATTAGCTTTAATGATAGAAAAAAAGTTTGAAAAAATAAGTTTTATATGTCCTTATTACCAACTTGTGAAAGAGATTTAACTACACTTGATGCTGACAAGATTCTTGCTGCTGTTACAATCTATAACTAGAATAAAGCTGGTTTACCATTGGGATTTGTGCTAGTTACCCAAAGTGTGCATGTGAAACATTTATAGTATGTACCGAAAACTTAAAAATCGTTCCATGCTTGCAATTAAACAGTCCTTAGAAACTAGATGTATCATATAGATAATCTCTGTATCGAAACGCTAATTCCAAGAGAAATATCAGTTATTTTTGCAGTTTAATTTTTTTTAATGCATCTAGACACTTACCACTCTGAAAGATAATCACCATTTTTGATTTCGATTTTTGGATACATCATCCCTTTGATTTATTTTCAAACAAAATTTGTAAAAACTACAATAAAAGTGCATCATTTTTCTAAAGGAAAATATTAGATATTTTCAAAGTTAGTATTTAATGCCATTATTGAAAACATCAAAATGTTTAGACAAATATAAATTTGATAACCCAACAGAATTATGTACCATTTTGAAATTATTATTGCATCTGTATATTTGTTAAAATTGATTTTTATTCTCTTTTTAGGCCCGACATTATTGATCCAGCCATCCTGAGACCTGGTCGATTAGATCAGCTTATTTACATTCCTCTTCCTGATGAAAAATCTAGAGAGAGTATATTAAAAGCCAATTTAAGAAAATCTCCTATTGCAAAGGTAAAATTGGACAAAATTTATAATTTGTTGATTTCAATGCACTTTACTCTTTTACACTTCTCATTTTTTGTTATGTAGATAAAATAATTTACAATTGTAATTCAAGTTGATATTTTAGGCTTGTCAACTTGGTATTTTAAATGTGTTGTAATTCTTATTGAATAATTGAAATACATCCTAAACTTAATCTCTTAAGTAATTTTTAATAGCTTTGGGTGCAAATATTGTTAATACTTATAGAAAAATAATGTTCGTTTGTATATACTTAATATTTTTGCATTAAAAAATTTTCACAATACTTAAGGTCTCATTCAAAGGTCGAAGTTCAGTCGCCTTATTCAGCAACATAAAAGCATTCTTTGATTCTTGACCTATGTCATTTTGAAAGAGTCTTATAACAAATTCATTACCATCTGACGCATTTTAAGGGATGGAGGTTTCATTACTTTTAAACATTACAACTAACGAAATATTTTCTAAGCAATACCTGCAATGAGAGACCAACAAATTTTAATCTCCTTTGAAGAAGCCCTCCAAATTGGGATTATATTTTAATTACACCTTAATCACAGTATTAAAAAAATTTGTTTAAATTATCTTGTTAAAATATGAAAACGAAACGGCTGACACCTACTCTACACAAAATCTTATTTAAATTCGTTTGATGTATTATGTTATTTTACGGAATGGTTATCCCTTTTATGTATACAAAGAGAGTTTCAGTTAAAGAAAACTTAAAAATCTAGATGATTTGCAAGCTAATTTTACGTTAGTTAGATGAAAATACTGAAAATGAAAACTGTAATGTAAAATACAATAAACTAGGAAGAGTTTAAAAAGTTTTCATTTTTTATAGTGTTTTATTTATGCCGACTGAAATAACCCTTGATGTTTTCTAATTAAATCTCAGTAAATATCTTTTTGTTAAAAAAAAAAAGTGACTTGATTGCACCCTGAAACATGCCACTTTTTTGATTACATAAATTTTAATATAATTTTTACTTAACTGGGATGTTAAAAAAAATTTTGACTTAATTTGAATTGTTATGTTTTAATGCTTTTCAGGCTGTTGAACTCCCTTACATAGCAAAAGTTACTCAAGGTTTCAGTGGTGCTGACTTGACTGAAGTATGTCAAAGAGCTTGCAAATTGGCTATCAGAGAATCCATTGAAATTGAAATTAAGAAAGAAAAGGAACGTCCTGAAAATGCTGGAGCTATGGTAATTACACTTGCTGACTAAAATTTCTATTCTTAAGGAGAAGTAATTTGAAATTAAAATGTTTGTCTCATTTAATTTAGGAAACTGATGATTTTGATCCTGTGCCTGAAATTAGAAAAGATCACTTTGAAGAGGCTATGAAATTTGCCCGAAAATCAGTTAGCGATAATGACATTAGAAAGTATGAAATGTTTGCTCAGACACTACAACAAAGCAGAGGTTTTGGAACTAATTTTAGGTATGAAAATCTCTTAATTTTTTTTTTCTGCAACATCGATGTAATATCGGATTTAATATAAATGAATGCATCTGTATGAAATTCTCTAATAACAATATGGAGCATTTTTTTTTTCCTGATTTTTGTACTAGCTCTTGGATGGGCTATTTTCATATCTGATTTCAAATTTACAATTGTTTTCTCTCTCAAAGTTACAAATTTTTTTAATGGCATTTNTTTTTTTTTTTTTTTTTTTTTTTTTTTTTTTTTTTTTTTTTTTTTTTTTTGTCAAGGTTATATACAAAAGGTTATATGAAAAAGGTTATATACAACATGAGGTCACATAAATTTTGCTGTCAATTTATTTTATTTTTGTCAAAATGTACAAGTTTGAAAACTTTATTTACAACAGGGGGTTGCATAAATGTTGCTGCTAATAGAGTTAAAGCACATAAGCAGGAATAAATTGCATAGGAACCCTTTTATTTTATAACCGTCCTTGAACAGCAGACCCAATTTAATGGGTTTACGACTACTAATGTTCAACTCCGTAGCCTTGTAATTTTGAAACCAATCCAGAAGACAAGGAAACTTCTGAATTGATTATTGGGAGAAATTTTGCCTTCATGGGGGACTTTTTGATGGACATGGATACATGGAAAGGAAGACCATGAGAACCCCCCATGGGTAGCCTGATGGCAAGAAGACTCTAACCCATGATCTGTCTACCACTGAGGATATTTCACTTTAGCACTGTGGTCGGCACAAGCCGGATGCGGAATTCATACCAACTGTGATTCGGACCCGGTTTACCTCATTGGAAGGTGGACACTATATCCCCTGGGCCATCGCGTTTCGCATAGGAACCATTGAGAGAAATGTTTCCTCAGCTAAGGGTGCTTTCATATTATGAGCTGTTTCTTCATGTGCTTCTGAACAGGTTGTAATACAGAAGCACCCCTAGCTTTGTTCAAGGGAATTTCTCCCATGCTATATATTTTTTTATTCTGGTGTTTTCAATTTTGTTGAAGTATTGTGTTTGTCCAAATTTATTCCTACTGTTTAAAATACATTTCTTTCTTTCTTCAGGTTTCCTTCATCTCAACCATCCGCTGGCGGAAGTAACAATCCTCCTCCTGCATTCCAAGAAGATGGGGATGATGATTTGTACAGTTAAAAAGAACCTTCAGGTTTCTTAGCTACGCGTGATGATATTCAAAATTATCTTATCATTAATGAAGAGGCACTTTCTACTGCTGAACATCACTTCTCTCATATTTCCTTTTTTTGTCATGGAAGAACATTATTTTATCTATATAGCAGAGGTACATTTTTTATTGTATTTAATTTAACTTGTTCATTATTGAGGTTACCAAAATTATTGAAAGGACTGTCGTATTTGTCCCTAGGACATGAAATGGACTTTTGTAAGCTCTGCCCCTTTTTGATTATGTTGTGTCTTCGTGGCTTCTAATATTGTACGAAATAAAGTTGTTTTCTAATACTGGCTTCTTCCTTATCTTGGATTTTTGTTGTTTATTGTTCTCTTGAATAATTGAAAATTTTGATATTTTTGTTTTTCATCAGGTGTTAACTCAAATTTTCAGTAAAAGCATTTTTTTTCTTTTGTATAATTAGGTTTTAATAGTTTCAACGGGACAGTTTCTCATCAGGACAAGTTCCTATGACGGTGGAGGGAATTGAAGAAAAGACAAAAATCAAGCGAGTGCTGCAAATTTTTTAAACATGTTAGCTAAGAGGAATAAACTGTCTCAATGCGTAATTTTATTGAAACTAAGTTGGGTAAAAACAAGTTTTTGTGTAATGAATTTTAGATGAATTAGGGCATATAGATTTGATTTTTTTAATTTTAAATTAGAGGATTTCGTGTGGTCACTGCCTCTTTCTCTTTTAAAAAACTTTTCCAATTTAAATTACTTTGAAGAGTATACCATTATCGCGATTCATATTCATCCTGTCTTTAATTTTAAGAAGAGTGTCATTTTATGTATTACAAGAAAGTAAATTTTTAAAATCTTGCTTGCTCTCATTCGCCAATCTCCAGAACTGATTATGCTGTTCCTGTAAGAACAGTAGAATTAGCTCCACTAATTTATTTCGCTTTAGTCTTTTTTTTAAAAACCCTAGCTTTTGTACAGTGCGTAAACAATTAAACAGGCCAGCTTTAATACTGTTTGATCTAATGATCGGGTCTTCACGTTCTTGGACTCAATCTTGGGCTTGGTTCATTTCCACGACCGACCCTTTCATGCCGGGAAAAAAAAGTTACTATTTACTTATGTCACTATGTTTTTTAAATTGCTAAATTTCTTTAGAGAAGAAGGGATATTTTGCCAAACACAGAAAACTTAAGCGCCGGGATAGCCTGGTTGGTAGGGCGCTGGGCCCATGTTCAAGGGTTCGATACCCGCCGGCCGAAGACTCCCCTTGTAGTAAATGGTGACTGATACACGTTAAATCTGTTGAGTCACAAAGTCCTCCATGTTCCCATGACAAATCGATACATCTGGGGGTACTGATCCAGGATTTTCCTTGCCATCTGGATTGGTTCGAAATTATATGGCTACGGAGTTGAACATTAGTAGTCGTAAACCCAAAATTTGGTCAGCTGTTCAACGACGGATACAAAAAAACACAGAAAGCAACTGAAGAATGGAAAATAAGATGAAGAAAACAAGGGAGCATTTTGAAAATCTATTTTTTCTTCTTGTATTATATACTTTCTCAGCCAGTCAACCCTAATGGAGAAAATTTCCTAAGATTCCACTGATTGATTTTACACAGATTGACTTAAAACTTAGCAAAAATTTAAATATTTTGTTTTGTTTGAAATTTAAAAAAAAAAAAATCCTTGAGGAATGTAATTTAATTAAATTTGAATATTTTTCCATTTACAATGTAGATACTAAAAAATATTTTTTCTCTCTTTAGAAATTTCTTTATTGATTTCAGAGTACATTTTAGATTTAAAAACACATTCTTTAGTCGTCGTCCAGTTTCTTCTAGTTCTTCAAATGAGAGGTACCTGAAATTGAACATTAAAAAACCTAAAATTTTACTCATGAATGATAACTGGTGGCAGAAATTTTATTTATGTATGCACAGCTGGCATATAATTTTTTGCTAATGCACCATGAATATTTTTTGTCTTAAGGATCAGATTTTATTTTTAAGAGCCAAATGGTTTCAAAGAGTTGACTTTAAGTGGGTTAAAAATTGCTGTTAACGATTAAGTTACAAAACCAGACCAAAAACGGATATTCTCTGAATAAACAATTTTTTCAATACCTTTAGATTCTTCACTATCAACGTATACAGTGCAAGCCTTAAGAGAAAAACTTTCTATTTAATTTTTAAGTGAAATTAATCATGAAAATTTTCTTTTATGTACTATAGAGATTGCTAGGAATGGGTTTTGTTAATAATTATCTATTACTTTCATTTTTATAACCATTTTTCTTATTGAAAATTTAAATTCTATGGAAAATGTAGAAAAGTAAAGCTATGATATTGTTAAAAAATTAACTGTATCGTCAAAAACTATTATCGTCCATCTAGAGGAAATTTTGTCTAGCCCTAATGTTTTGTAAAAGACGCAACTGTGTTTTGGTCATAAAACTTTACGTGTCTCAGAAATGGGTTAAAAAGCAAATTTAATTTTTGTTATTCTCAAAAATTATACATATTAGAAGGGAAAAAAACAATTGAATTTGTAGTTTGTAATTACTTCACAAGAAAACCTTGCAATTATATAAAAACTTTCTTACTTTTCAAACAACTTTCTGAAAAAATAAAGAATAAAAAAAGTAGAAGAAATTAATAAAACAATTATTTCAAGATTTTCTTATATATATGGGTCATTCTCACAAAAACAGTCATTTTCATGTCCCCAGTATATTTTATGTTTGTTTTACAGCTTACGAAAAAAAAAAAAAAATATTCAGGGAAAGTGTCCTTCAGAATGCAAGCTAACAAAAGAATAAAAATAAAATTAT